AAAATCAACAGGAACCCCAACACATTATATACCCGGATAGCTGATGATAACGTCCACATTGGCAAAATAGCACCCGGATCCATGGAGAATTGCCAAATTGACACCAGGCTAAAGTTTTGCCTGGCTGCTAACAGAGTCCATGCCCTAAAGAGTTCCTGGAGAAATGGGGCTTTGGCCGGTCAAATGTCGGGAGTTCCTGTTTCCAAAATAGGCAGTCTCACCCTGGCTCTCAGGGAGCAATTATTCCACATGGTTTGGGAGCACCGTGACTCCAAAAAGCACTCATTTTGTTGTTTTGCAAGTGGGAGAAAACAGAGGGGAAAGTTGGAAAGTTGACCAGGAGATGGGGTTAGCTGTAGCCAGACTAGAGTTTTAGAAGAGTTGTGGAAAAGCTCTGCTATAGTCCTTGCGACTTTCTGGACTCTGGTTATGGACAGAGGAAGGAGCACTGATTGGCCATGAGAGAAAAGTGATGGGGGCCATGGATGGTGAGTATAGTCTTTTGGGGAAGACATATAGGAAAAACAGCCTGGCTGCGGATGGTAACTAGGTGATGTGTCACACACAGTATTGTTGTGGATCAGAAATGTTGATCTTTGTTATGTTCAGAGGAAGCCCAAATTGTTGTTACAAGTGCACTTGGAGAAGCGAGAATTACACACCAGACACCTGTTGGTATTCAAAATAAGCCTCTGATGTTTTATTCATCAGCTGGGTTTTATACATTAAAAAGTAAGTGCTTACGTGCAAATACTCTTAGAGCAGTAATGGGAAGAGAGTACAGATAAGACATAGGGATGAGCATCATGTACACATAACAAATAAGTTTCAAGGTAAGAGAGAACAAAATGATTAGAGCAGAGACATCTCAGGTGTGGGCTCTCTGCTCCCGGAACTTAGACATATATGGTCTTATGTGTTGTTTAAGCATAAAGCATTTCCTGAGTCCAAGTTAGCCAATTTTAATATATGACACCTATAAGCTTGAGCCCTGGAATCAAGATAAATTATATCACAGTATGCAGAATATCTGAAGAAATGAGAAGATGTAATAGGACAAATGGTGATATGTCATTCTGTTTATCACTGTGGGTGTGTTTGCAGTGGAAATAGGTTCTGTAATGTGCACATTCCCCCTTCAGAAGAAAATTCATCAGATCCCGTAGTACCTGCAGGGAAATTAGGGTTACCGCGCAAGGGGAGCAAATGTTGGGAGCTATCAAAAAGAAGAACTTATTCAATGCCACATGGATATTCTGGCATCCTGGCATTTATCTTTTGCCTACCTGCCACCCTTCACAAGGTCCAACCATGGTGGAGCAGCTGCAGCAAGGTCAGTGTGTGAAAGGTCCCCCTTAAGTCCCACCCAAAATTTGGACCTGTCAGGAACTGTCAAGGAGATCACTCTAGAGAGATGGATCTACTTTTCCATGTCTGGAAGCTTTGGAAGATACAGCAAAGATTTTACCAATCCTTGTGGTTTGTTCCTTCATTTAAATGTATGAATGTGGGTGCTCAGTTTGGTGAAGAAAACAACTTGATATCTTCCCTTTCCAAATACTATCTTGTGACAGAAAGACTGGTACTGTGAGTATGTGTATTCTGTAAATTTTCTCCCTTTTATTGTATCTGTTTGCTGGTGTATGTAAATTTGTTTATACCATATTTTTTATTTGAATGCACTGTGACTATTTTGTGCTCATAGTAAATGTTTCTTTCTTAAATTCTGCCTTGGATAAGAATCACATTATCATTGACATTTATAGAATAGTTCTGGGATTTTTTTTGGAATTAATAATTAACTTACATTTTAAATCTGATTTGATGGGGTAACCTCAGCCACCACATCAATAAATTGTCTTGGTGGTGGCATGTTTTATAGGAGTGGGTGTTTTTAAGATGGATTTTTTTTTTTATGATTATTGTTGGTCCAGTGCAGACAAATGGTGATTTTTTAACCTTTTCCCTTACTGAAGCAATTCATGTGCATTCCTTGGAGTGGTAGAGTCTGCGGCATAAGATATGATGAAAGATATTGCATGAGTGGATGTGTTTCTTTGCATAACATTAATGTACTTACATTTATATACACTATCATATGCTTGCAAGTTTTGCCAAATAATCTAAAAATACCCAAAACAATATGAAAAAAAATAGCCATGTATTTAAATAAATAATTTAGATAGGTCCTAATTCTTTCTTTCTTTTCATGCTTTCTTTCTTTTTCTTTTTTTTTTCTTTCTTTCTCTTTCTTTTTCTTGCTTGAGACTTGAGACAGGAAAAAATGAACCACACTCCAATCATGTGAAGATCTGGGTGCTAAACTGGACCACGGGCCAGTACCAGCCCCAAGCTTGACAAAGACCCTTCCAGAAGTCGAAACGTTGTGGTGTCTAACTTGTCCCAATAAATACATTTGAAGATACTTGGAGTGCCTGGATCCTCTTTTTACCATTAACATTAGACACTGTGAGAACCCTAGACGACCCTAGATTCATAATATGCTATTTTATTGCAGAAAGCTATTCCATAAGTATACTCATTGGAATTAGCAGACTTGGGAGGAATGTCTATTGCTAACTTGGGGACTCTTCTCGAATAGCAACAACCAAAAGACACCTGCTTTTCCTCATCTTCATGAGTCACCCTCATGTAAAACATAAATGATTAGATCTCAAAAGGTTTACTGCTGCAAATGACACCACTTCTATAGAATGTATCTACTTAGGCTGTGTGAGAGTGCATGTTGTATTCTTTTACTATTAGCATTTACATCACGACCAAGATATGCTGTAGCGCTTTACAACTTGTGGGACAGATACATTTAATGAATGTATAATTTTTTTATTTTTTTCCAGTAGGATGAAGTTTACATTAAATTTATTAAACATATTTGTAGTAAATACTATTAGAACATGAAATAATGCCAATGTGCATATTAACAGAGTTAGCAACTTAGCACAGTGTCTTAAAACATGTAATGTCAAGCTTTGTGAACATTGCCTTGAATTTGGACCTTTGAGGATTTGTATCTCACTGATGTTTTTTTTTTCTATTACAAATGATAAAACAGTTTTTGAATGGCAATATGTATATAAAACATACAAAGTCCAGCAAACTCACTCATTCACTAAACAGCGATTTCAAGGCTCACAGAATGTAATAGTTTTATTTAGAAACACTGAACCTAGGTAAAACGAATGGGGGTGTAGTTACAGAATATGATCATACATTGCATAAGCCTGCCATAACGCCAATGTTCCCACTCTTGGCAGGTGAGTTTACCTGCAGCACCCTTAATTATGATTCGTCTCTTCAGGAAATCAATTGTGGAAAACTAACCATGTAGGTCTCTAATATGCAAATATTGTTTTTGTATTAGTAATAAAAATATATATATATATGTCCTTTAGAAATTAAATAAAAAATAAAAAAAATTAAAACATGGGAATATATTTTGGAAAAAATGGTGCAGAACATCCCAGGTAACTTCCTGCCTTACAGTGAAAAAACTATTGTAAGCATCAATATTACCTTAAGAGGTTCTCTATCAATTTTGGCTTTTCCCTTTCCTTGTCACTTGGTAGTAATCAAATGACATTTAAAGATGATAAAGGTTTCAGTGATGCGTTGTTAGGATCATGCTGCTTAAAAGTACTTTTCTGCACTTAGCACCACAAGCAATTTGAATGATTTAAAAAACTGCCATAGTAACATGAAAGCTTTATGACATATGTACAGTTTGAGTAGAAGCAATTGGACTTTACTGTTGCTAAAAGTCAAACAACAAATACTATAAATAATCAGATATATTGAAAACAAAGGCAAAATTCAACTATTTTGGCAGCCCACTCAATAAATTACATAACTAGATTTCAATATGAAAAGAAGCACTAACATTACCACTACTCTTTACTGAGCAACACTTGACTTCTCTTTGGTTTGACAACCAGTCTTGTTCCTACCTAAATTGAATGTAGTGTTCTGTAGTTAAAATGGTTACCTTCATCTTTAGGTTGAGCATATCAATATTGGACACTGTAGACGTCTTAGTATCCCCTTTTTTATTTTTTATATAATGCAATAAAATATGAAAAAGCAATGTTTTAAATAAAACACAAAGATACTCTTAGGGTAGCGTTAAAGGTTAGTATAGGGACAGGGCCGGTGCAAAGATTTTTGCCACCCTAGGTAAAAACAATGTTGTTGACCCTTTCGCTCCTCCCATGGTGTGATATAACAATGATCAACCCATATGAACCACCTATGTCATGACTTCACATCACATAGAATTGTCAGGAATTCAAAATGAATTTCATATTTAGGTTAAAAAAATTGCCAAACTGCAAACATGGCTGAAATGGAGATTTTTCCATTTGGCTATTTTGGCCTTAAATTTTAAATTCACTCTAAATCCATTTTGAATTCCCAGCAATTCTCACTTTGAATTTAAATTTTGGTTAATAACCCTGTTAAAGCATAGTTCAAATTGCACATTTCATTAGAGGAACACTCCAAGCACCATAAAAACAATATGAAGATGGCCTAGGCAGTTTGTCCATGAAAGCATGGGAGCATAAGCTGACAATCGGATGATGCCCCCTGACGGTGCTGCAATAGATGTCTGGAAGGG